TTAATTGACCAGATAACTATATCTAACTTCATTTATTCACATCTTACTGCACTAACCAATTCCTTTTTTTGTAAATCAGTAAGACACTGAATAAATAACCAGATAACATGAATTAGACTCCCCAATATCTAATAGAAAACAACAACTTCTCCATGTTAAAAACTGAAAACGCTGACCTATTCACAAAAATGAAACAAATTTCATTCATTCATATTCATTCAAATAAATTAGGAAACACATAAAAAGCAAGACGAAGAAATAGCTAAAATTTCACAACGAAACTGAACCAGATCTCTAGAAGATGAGATAGATAAACCAAATTTAATGAATCTAGCATGATATTAAGAATAAATAATAACAAAAAATAGGAAACAATAGATTAACAAATTTTCATGCTTTTGATATCCAATTATTCATCAACTATTCGATGAAAGGGAATATCATGAATGAATGAAACCTGTAATTGCCAAAATCCAACAAATCAAGCAAAATCTGACGAAATCCATCAAGGAAGGCAGTGAATCACAAATTAATATGGACATGCAGACTCAAAAAGTACACAAATTAATTGCAAAAGTGATTTTTTACATTTCCAATGAGAAAAATCAAAGAATCACGGCAAATCTAAACTAAAAATCAAAGAATCATAGAGAAATTACACCTGTAATTGCCGAAATCCAAGAAATGAAGCAAAATCCGACGAAATACCTCAAGGAAGGCAGTGAATCACAAATTAATATGGACATGCAGACTCAAAAAGTACACCAACTAATTGCAAAAGGGTTTTTTACCTTTCCAGTGAGAAAAATCAAAGAATCACGGCAGATCTAAACTAAAAATCAAAGAATCATGGAGAAATTATACCTGTAGTTGCCGAAATCCAACAATCATGGAGAAACTAACAATTAATAAACTATTTGTTAATTATATATTTGGTTTATTTCCACCTCTGACGCCATAACACCTCCTGAATAATTCCCTCCGCCTCTGCTTTCTCTTGGTCCGAGATAGTGCAATCTTCAAAAATGGATCTTCATATAGTCACTCATGCTGCAAAGATATTGAAAAAAAATATATTAACAAGAGAAAAATATTAACAAATAAACAATATATTGAAAGAAAAAAAATTAATAAAAATTAACAAATAAAAAGGAATATAGACAGACTTTGTACACATGCTATTAGATTCAAATTTGTTCTTAGGAAAATTATGTTCTAATTTTTGTTAATCCAACAGTAAGTTGAACAATTGATGAATAACTGTAGCATGAACACGAATTTCAATACCCATTTATTGCATCGCACAAACAAAAAAAAAATAGCAGCAAAAGCTAAAAAAACAAAACCCAAGAGTTACTTCAACATTTCGTGGGCCCTACATATTATTTTACAAAACTCACCAACTTAAACCTCATATTTATATAAATTGGTAAAATTAAATCCAAAAAAACGGCAATCTGTCAAAACCAAGACTTGCTACAGCATTTTGTGGGCCCCACATATACCACTTACAAAATTCTTCAGTTCACACCTCATATACATATATACATGGGTAACCAAAAAAACAAAAGAGAGGCAAATTGTGGAAAAATTAAGTGGCAAAAGTAATCATACTTGCTACATACCTCTTCAAAACCAGGATCTGCTCTTCAACATTTCGTGGGCCCCCACACACATTCTTTTACAAAACTCACCAACTTACACCTCATATACATATAAATTGGTAAACTTTAAACAAAAAATAAAATAAATGGCAATATGTGAAAAGAAAATTATTCAAAGTTGCTTAAATTATGTATATATTATTTAATTTGTCATTGTATATTAAAATGCATATGTATTTGTTTTTTGACAGCGGTGTATACGATAGAATTTTAGAAACGAGGACTACCACATGCACATATTTTGATTTGGCTACATCCCGTTCATAGATATCCAACACCAGCAAAGATTGATGAAATCATTGTCGCCGAAATACCAGACAAAACAGAAGATCCAGTTGGATATGATGCTGTATCAAAATATATGATGCATGGACCATGTGGACAAGTTGCACCAAGATCTCCATGTATGAAAAAACTGAAGTGCACAAAACATTTCCCCAAGAAATATATCAATCAAACCTGCATTGATGATGCTGGGTTTCCTATATATCGTAGGAGATGTGATGAAAAGGTTTGGGTGGAAAAAGGAGGAATTAAGCTTGACAATAGCTATGTGGTACCATACAATCGAAACTTAGTTGTTAAGTATCAAGCCCACATAAATGTCGAATGGTGCAATAGAGGTAGATCTATCAAATACCTCTTCAAATATATCACTAAGGGACCCGATTATGTCTCAGCATCTCTTCAACATAAAAGCAAGAATGCGACATCTTCCAATTCGAAAGAAAGACTTGATGAAATACAATACTATCTTGATTGTAGATACATATCTGCTCCTGAATCAATATGGAGGATATATGGCTTTGATATCCACTATCGAACCCCCCTGTAGAAAGACTTCCATTTCATTTAGTTGAACAGGAGCCAATACTTTTCAAAGACATTGATAATCTACAGGATATTGTAAATGATGTTCAGTCCAAACAAACCTGTAATTCTTTGTAAACGATCGAAGTTTTAATGGAATCTGCAATGGAAACAACTTTCGCTGAAAACAATGGCAACATGCTATAGATGAAGCATCATATTCATCTTCAGGGCGTAAGATGAGAGAGTTATTTGCGCAGATACTAATCTTTGGTGAAGTGATAAATCCTAAAAAAACTGTGGAATGACAATTGGAAGTGTCTTACTGAAGGGTTTATTGACATGCAAAGAAAACTGCTCAATATGCCAACTTTGGATATGACTGATACTCAGCTTCAGAACCATGCTCTTTTAGAAATTCAAGACCTCTTGCTACAAAATGGCCAGTCCCTACTAAACTTCAGTGGAATGCCCACACCAGATCCCCAACTTTTGAAGCAATGTAGTGATAAACTTATAAGTCAGGAGTTAAACTTCAATAGAGAGGAATTACGAAAAGAACATGAGATATATTTTCAAGGACTGAACACTCAACAACGAGATGTATATAATGCCGTTATTGACTCCGTATACAACAGAAGTGGGGGACTATACTTTTTGTATGGTCATGGAGGGACTGGTAAAACTTATGTGTGGAAATCAATTTGCACAAAACTTTGTTCTGAAGGAAAAATATTCCTTCCAGTCGCATCCTCTGGAATAGCATCGATACTACTACCCCATGGTAGAACTGCTCATTCTCGATTTAAAATACCAATCATATTGAATGAACATTCAACATGTGGAATTAAACAAGGAACTCCAGAGGCAAATCTCATTAAACAGACAGATCTTATTATATGAGATGAGGCTCCAATGATGCACAGATTTGCATTTGAAGCAGTTGACAGAACACTAAGAGATATTGTGGGAAAAGATAATCCAATGTTGGCAGACAAACCATTCGGTGGCATAACAGTGGTTCTTGGAGGTGATTTTAGGCAAATTCTACATGTTGTACCAAGAGGCTCAAAACATGATATTATACATGCTACACTCAGTAGATCTAAGTTATGGAATTATTTCAAAATTTTTAAACTGACACAGAATATGAGGATCCAACATCAATCATCCGATCAGCTAGGAATGAATGCGTCTGAATTCAGTGAATGGGTTCTTGAAGTTGGTAATGGGACATTATCTTTCGACGATTGTGAGAAAGAAGAGGAGTCTAAAATTGCAATTCCAGAGCAACTTCTACTACAACCAACAAGAGATGCAATAGAAGATATAATTGCATCAACATATCCAGATATTCAACAGAATTGCTGTAATCAAAGTTACTTGGAAGAAAGAGCAATACTAACTCCAAGAAATGAGACAGTTGATATCATAAACAATTGTGTACTGGAAAAAATACAAGGAGAATTCACAACATACCTCAGTTCAGATTCTATTTGCCAAACATC